TTGAAGTGGCCACGGGGAGCCGTTAGTGAAGTTATACTTCGTTTTACATATTAAATCCATTATATTTAGTGGTCTATTACATTAATTCACTCAAATTACTTCTTTCAATTAATTAATCTTTTTTTATATAAGGTTTTTGGTTGAAATTAAAAAGCTAGTGACACGAGCGGGATTCGAACCCACGACCTTCGGCTAAATACGCCGTTGCTCTACCACGAGCTATCGTGACTTCGATCCACTCGGACACCAAAAAGATAAAAAATGGCAAAAAGTGGATCAACCTACAACCTTTCGAATTTTCCCTCCTTTTTTCCTATTTTTGGTATCCGAGTGGATCGAAGTCGATAAAAAAAGATTAATTAATTAAAAGAACTAATTTGGTCAATATAATGGATTTAGTTTCCCTAATTACATAATGGGTGAACATTATTGGCATATGATGAAAGATGAAATATAAATTTTTTGCGGTCGTAAAAATCTTGAATTTGGTTGAAAAATCCAGAGATGTTAAGAAATTTTAAATGAAACAACAAAGAAAAAAATGGGGACCGCGGTAGCCGAGTGGTTAGCATGAGAGACTCTCACGCCGCGGTCGTGGGTTCGATTCCCACCGTTGCCCCTGGCCCTTTTTTCCCAATAGCCCCCCAAATTTGAACACACATATACGAATTTGTCACATGGCTAATATGCATAGTTCATAACGCCAAAAAAAAAAAAAAAAAAAAAAAAAAAAAAAAAAAAAAAAAATCGGATTATGAGCTTTAAACTGTACTTAAAACGAATCCGAATTGCTTTTTTTTCTATAAACTTTTTGACCTACTGTACTTGAAGCATTTTTTTTGTAACGCTTAAAATCCCTTGGCGTACTATGAAACGGGGAGAAGAGAGGTTTTTCTAGGCCGACATGTCACTACGAACCTCCACACGACACTGGAAGAAAATGGTGACAGCCAAAACAGTTGCACGGTGGAAACTTACGGGTCGTGGTCCAATGTAGAAGGTCCCTGCTGCCGACATATCACCGTGGCATTGAGTTACGTACCGTAACACTTCACTTACTTCCCGCTTTATTTGAATTTTTCACACACAGATATAACTTTTACAGAAAGCCATTCTCTATGTTTATTTATTTTAAAGGTACAAATAGAGCTTTAAGCCCCCTTAAATGTACATTCGCTGACAGGCAAAAAATTCCACCCACTTGTAATACAACTTCTTTTGTACATATTTTTATATATCAATCATCGTTTCACGTTTTGCAACGTTTAATAATTGAGTTATTGCCTAAAAATAATAAAAAAAAGTGTTAATTGCTAAGGAAAATGAAAATAAAAATAAAAGAGACGGATAGATTTGTTTTAATTTTTTTTAGAATTTTAAATTCATTTTAATTTAATTTTAATTTTAATGTTATATCTAATCTAATTTAATATGATCCTTCATATCAGTTTCTTATGTCAGATAAAACACAAAATAATGATTTATACACTTTGAAAAACGTGCTAAACACAGGCGGAAAAACATTTAACAAACTATGTAAAGTAATAAATTCAATTCTATGTAATTAAAATATTTTTTATTGAGCTCATTGGCAAGAACGCTCAGACAAAGAGTAATATTTTTAGACCAAATATTACCAAAAAACATTTAATTACAATCGTCGATCCTACGCCCGTAGTCTCTTCTTGTTAGTTATTTACACGTTCTTCAGAATCACTGCACAAGCAATAAAAATAAATCATGTGGAGTGAGGTAATTGAGTCGTCTGTTTAGGCGTTGGACACATAACAGGTGGACTGTTTCTACGTCGATGTGTAAGTGCTAGGAGGTAGCAATTCAGGTCGTGCCCATGAAACAACTAATTTTTACTTGTGTTTTCCGTCGGAAATGCACATGCATCATATCAAGATTCTTTTTCTAGGTGGGGTGCGTGATTTCAATTTAATGTGGTTTTTTATTTTCTAGTTCGTGATTTTTTTTTCATTCAAGTTTATTCCTCTATTCTTCTGTCCATTTATGAATGAGAGAGATTGAATTGTTCACTTTCTGCGTTGATTCAGCATTGATTTCACGACCGTCATAATTGCTATGTCATTAGAAAACAAGTGTTGCCATATTTTTCGCTAGATCACTAGATGTAGTAAAGTGCAAGCATAGGGCAGGGTGCGACGATTTCGCCAAATTTTGAAATTGGATTTTCCCTATGGCGGTGTTATCCATTTGTTGGGAATCGTCTCGCCCTGAGAAAGGGTTTGAGGTGCGATGTGGGTCCGAAGGCAGTGTGGAAGAAAGAGGGGATACAGGATAAACAAACTCCTCAGCCGAGGTAGTGAGGCGTTTTCGAGATATCTGCCAATCAGGGGTCCAGCTAAAGTAGTGACAACTGTCCAGCAAGAAGAGATTTTGTGGCCATCTTGGAACGGCAAACCTGGGACCCCGGAAAACTCAAGTCTACACGAGGTGCCTTTTATGAAGATACTTTTTAACCTTTTTTCGAATGTGTCAAAGCCAGTAATTCCAAAATTATAATTTTTCATCAAATTAAAAAATTTTGCTTCAGAAAATAAATACATTTTTTTCTCTTTACTCAAAGGTGTACATTTTTTATTTTTTTATTTCATTTCTAATTTCGTTATAACTTTTTATTTGATTATACATTCTCGTTTCTTTTAGTTTGATTTTGATTAACCATTATTTTAACAAGCCTACATAGTTGGGCACATATGTGAAGGCAGTTTTAGTGGACAGTCTTTCTCTATAAGTTTCATAGAGAATCACCAATGCTCTAGCTGAAACTGATCCTCACAAGGGGCACACCTTGTATACTCCGCCTTGTAGTACTCCAGCTTGTATCGGTTTGAATTCTGATTAGGCCTCTTCTTACTATTTCTAAACTACCTATTTGCAAGGTAGGATCCCATATGTTTTGAGGAGTGGGCTGGAATGGAATTCCAATCGTACATAGGAGACCCTCATAGCTGAGCATATCTTTTTTCCCAAAAACCCTCTAGGGCAGAATTTTCTAGGTGAAATTTTCCACATATTAAAAATAAACTACACCTGGCATTTTTTTTATAAAAAGTTGCTCCATCCATATGACGTCTTTTATGTCACATTTTGACAGTTTCTTTCCTGGTTTGTACAATACATGCTCAAGGGTTTTAATTCGGCATTTATTACCTCGAACCGGTTGTATCCATGTTTTAAATCAGTTAATTTTTTTAGAAGGACTGATTTAATAAATCTTTTTGAATATTATCTGCAAGCTTGTCAGATTCTCACATGGGGAAACCGATTTTCTGGGAAGGTTTTATGACAATAGTTGGAAAAATATGAAACACGTGTCCGAGCGTTCTTATAAATGGGCAATTAATTTAAACAGGTTTTTAAAGTCTTTCTGCCTTTGTTGTACATTCAAGGTTATTTAACCTCATATAGTTATTTTACTGTATTTTTTAAAATTATTAACTGGTCACGCAAAAAAATTGTGTATCAAACAAATATATATGGGCATGTATTTTTGTGTGTGGTCTAGATCAAAAAACATCAGGCGGGTGTCCGATCGTTCTTGCCAATGGACTTTTAAAAAATTAATGCCCTGAAAAAACAAGTAGTTAATGCAATTTACCTACTTGTTGTAAATATGGTTAACTTCTTTTCTTTTCTATGNCGCCCTAACATCCAAACCTTCTATCTTAGGTTAGCTATATCTCTTCTGAGTGCTATAAAGCTCTGACTCCAAACATTCACTCGAAATCTTATTTATCCTATTGCCATCCAAGCTTTAATTTTTCTTTTTAAAATTCTTAATTCGGAAGGCCAAATGTATACAAAATTCCCATTTTAAATTTTCTAATGTAATTTAAAGCTTTATTTAGCTTTCGATTAATCAAGGTTTTTGGTTGAGATAAAAAAGTCAGTGTCACTAGCGGGATTCGAACACACGATGTTCGGCTAGATACGCCGCTACTCAACCACTTGAGCTATCGTGACTTCGATCCACTCGGACACAACTTCCCATCTCAACCCCACCTTTTGAATTTTCCCTCCTTTTTGCCATTTTTTCCCTCCTTAATTAATTGAAATATATTAACTGGTCAAGCAGACCACGAAAACTAGTGAAGCTTTATTTAGCTTTTCATTGAGTGAATATTGAAGAAGTTTCGGTCTGAACGAGTGTTCCCATTAGGCAACTTCTACAAAAGACCCAAATGACAATGCAGCATATATAACATATTTACTTAATACAATATTTGTAGATGTAAATATCAAGTAAATGTAATAAAAAACAAAACAATAACTGAAGACATGACAATAATAGGTGTGTATTTGTTTGTCTGCTAAATTGTATAATCTATCTAAGTAATAACCTTCAAAACTTTAAGAACTGTAAATCTCAAACTGATAAGTAAGTCTTGAAATACGTACACCAAAAAAGCAGGAAACCGTATATATAAAAGTTATGTAAATTACTTAAATCATTTTTTCTCAGTCCTTGGGTCGACGGGTAAAACGCTCGTACTCAAATATTTCTGGACCTGGTATCACCAAATGATTTCATTAACTGGATATATTTTGACCCAAATAAATAAATTTTGCGTGAATAACAGGGTAGAGATCGTGGGTTTTCTTACGTTAGGTATAGTTAGGATTAGGATTACGGGTTACATTAAACTGACTATTTAAAATTGCTTTCTTTATCCATTATTGATATACTTTCTTTTTTGCCTATCTTCTTTGATCGAAAGTAAGAAGAAATATTTTTAATGCTTTTGTTAGATCATATATTTTAAACATAATAATACAATATTTTTTAATACGTTAACATTTGTAAACAATTACAACAATGTTATTGTTTGTTTTTCAAGAATTCGTACCATTTTATTAACACATTGCATTATTATAAGTCGTTCTATCGTGGGTAGTAATATTTGATAGTTCAACAATAATGTAGTTATTTAAAAATTTTAATATGAGTTTTTATGGTGAATATCATAGAATAAGCAATTGCATAATTTTTATTGCCCAGAAAAGTTTTACAATCACTAAATGGGTTTTATAAAAATTGCCTATGATTTCTTCTTTGCCTTTGGTATGATATCACAGGCAAAAATCGCACATAGCAAACAATTGCCGTCTGAATCGACACCCTTGATTACAGTCTTGTACTTTCCATAAGGAATTGCGTTCATTAACTGGCTCTCTTGGACAAAACTCACATTTTCGAAATTGTAAATACCCTGAAATTTTTGTTGTACGTTAACGCATTTTAGAAATTTACCCTAATTTGTTTTGATAACCTGAACTCACTTCGACCGCGGGACACGACTGGTTGACCTGTGCGAATATCTCCTTTTTGAATTGGGGAAGGTACTTTTCCATTCCTGAGCACAAGCCGCCTACTTCGAGATAGTAGAAATTTGGCTTCCAACCACCGTTTCCCCAAATCGAAACATCAGTTGTAAGCTTTTTATTTATATTAAAAAAAATCATTTTTCTGTACATCACAACACTTTACGTTTACCTTTACTTCATCGTTGACAGGAATCGTACAGTTTAAAACCCCACTATAGACATAACTTGACCTGTCCAGCTTCCTAATTTTGTAATTGCTGAAGATGATTTTTGGACTTTCGCATTCAGAACTGGCACATTTCCCTAACTCTAAAGGAACAACGTCGTAGGGACCCTAAGCAAATATAATTAATTAAAACACTTCGTACTACATACAAAAGACTCACCTAAAACTGCATTACTTACGGCAAATGAAGCAATAGATCTACTGGCCATGTGGAGAAACAGAGCCAGAGTAAAAATCCTGCTCTTCATGATTCCAAAGTTCAACTGGGATACGTTATTAATGAAAATTGGATGGAGGACAAACGTTATCTGTTTTGCTACAGAGCGATCAGTATCTTTTTTTAACTCAAATAATTAGCATCCTGTTATTTGAAAAAACAAATGTTTACAGTGAATACGGATAACATTAATTTAATATTTTTACATAGCTTCTGATTTTTTGTTGATTATTATTAAATTGTTACAGTATGACGTTTCACTATTAGAGCTGCCTGTTTTTTAGTACAGGTTATATTTAGTATATGATCTTGTTAGAGACAGAGAGAGATTAATTGGTTGGTTGATTAACGAATAATTAATTAATTGGAGAGCGCTGAGAGTGATTGAGTGAGTGTGAAGAGTGAGGGAGAGAGTGAGAGTCAGTGAGAGTGAGGGTGAGAGAGAGTGAAAGAGAGAGAGAGTGAAAGAGAGAGAGAGAGTGAGAGAGAGAGAGAGAGAGAGAGAGAGAGAGAGAGAGAGAGAGAGAGAGAGAGAGAATATTTTTTCTGGGATTAGACCCCTAAGAAAAACAACAAGGTCAGAAATTTTTCGCATTAACAAGCTAAACTTCTGAAACAATTAGGAATAATAAATTAGTTAGGGAAAACTATGGAAATGTGGATCCAATGAAGAGGTGCCAAAATTCTAAATAGCTTATTTTCGTTTAGTTTTACTAAACTATTAACTTTATTAAACCAACGCTCACTAAAATGTTACGATGCACAATTTGAAAAACACGTGTAATTTCTTTTTAGATTGTAATTTCAAAAACCGTGATCAGAGAGGAACAGAGATTACTTTTTCTTCTTAAATAGGATATAGAATAGAAATAGATATATTCCGTTATGCTTTCTGTAAGTAAACGGGGGGGGGGCGAAAAGTTGATTACTATATTTACCCTAGGTACTTGATTTACCAGATTTGGACGAGTAACAAGTTATCTTCAATCAAGTAACCGGCTTTTTAAGCCCGCCGAAGTTCCCCCGATCCAATTAAACCTCGCACTGCCTGAAGAATTTACCGAAACTCGTTAGCTGGAAAAATGAGTAGCCGCGTTAATATCTCTTGAGGTCTCCTACTTGGAAATAGTTCGATGTGAAGGGTTCTTCCTCCCTTACAGAGCTTTTATACCGTTACCCGAGAAGAACGAACGGTTAATTAAAAACCATACATCAAGCCACCGTACGCTTAGCACATACACAAATAGTCGCACGGGGTTCTCTTAATTAAGAGCGTATATTCTCCACGCTGACCTGCTACCCCCAAATATTTTAACCCTGACTTAATACTCTCTCATGTTTTTATAAAAAGGATTAAAATGGAAAACCACTTGGTACAAACTTTAAAGCAGAAATGGTTAAAAAAATACAATTGAAAGGAGCTAATTTCTAAGAATTAGGCGGATCCTGAATATAAAAAATGAAAACAATTTATTCTTTATCTAACTTTATTTAAAATCGAAGCTACTATTAATATTTATTTCTTCAATCTTTTAAATAAGCAATGGAATCAAGTTGAAAGAGGCAGAAGGGAATTTCGGGCTCTGGACATTAGAATTTGTTATTTCCGAGTTTAACGGTTTGGAAACCAACGGATTCGATATCAGTTCCCCTTCTGTTTTCGAACAGTCGACATGTTTATTACATAGCGATGAATTGCGTCGGGAACAACATATTGTTTTATTTGAAAACCTCGTGAAAATAACTAAATAGGTAAAATCATAAAAGTGTATAATTAGCAATTGGGGGGCATTGACGAAAATTGACCTTAACTGCTTTGAATGAAATTTCGGGAAACTGTATTGATACCATATAAAAAATCAATTCCACGTAAATGTAAATAACGAACTATTTTATTATTATTATTATTATAAATGGTCTTAAGAACTCGCACATTAGTATGAGTGTTTCATCATAAATATGTTGTTGGGGGGAAGTGTAGGGTGAACCGGGGCCAAGGCCGACCGTGGGAATCGAACCCACGACCGCGGAAGACAACTAGCCGAGATCCTATCACGCTAAGTTCTCGGCTGCCGCGGTCCCTTTAGTAAAGGCCTGTACATAGAAAATAAATAGTTTTTAGTAGATCAAAATTGATATTTTTGGCTTTAAACGAGTCCACCTAATAGTTTTAAAATAATATTTACTAATACCCTATAATACTAATAGTTTTTTTGTGGTTTGAAATTGAATGTATTTATTGGTCTGAGTGTGAATGAGAGAGGCATGCTGGTGGGATATTAAGGTCTGGTACCAGAACGCATTAAAGTATCTCAACTAAAAAACCTTAGTTGAAAGATATTAATTTGCCAAGCGGACCACGGAACTAGTGAATTTAATACGTTTTAATTAATTAAATTAATTAAGGTTTTTAGTTGAGATAAAAAAGTCAGTGTCATGAGCGGGATTCGAACCCAGGACCTTCGGCTTGATACGCCACTGCTCTATCACTTGAGCTATCGTGACTTCGATCCACTCGGGCACTAACTTCTTATCCCAACCCCACCTTTTGAATTTTCCCTCCGTTGAGATGAGAAGTTACAGTCTAAAGTTGTAGAATAGCGGCGTATCAAGCCGAAGGTCGTGGGTTCGAATCGCGCTCGTGACATTGACTTTTTTATCTCAGCTAAAAACCTTAATTAATTTAATGAAATTAATTGGTCAAGCGGACCACGAAAAATAGTGAATTTAATGAGTTTTAATTAATGTTTTAAGATTAAGCTAGAATCATATCATTGTTGGAAGATTGGAGCGTAGCTGCTTTCCATTCCCAGAACAACGGTGGGACGGGTTTCCACTCGATACAAGATATTGGTGGTCTCTGAAGATGACTTAGATCAGGTCGCCATGGCGTCACATTTCAAGGAGATGATCTTTTATTATTTCAAATTTACTCCGTAATCGACTTTTTACCGCTGTTGAAATCCACCACGACTTGAAAAAGTAAGATATGTTAACATTACTTTACTCATTGTATGGCGAAAACTTTCAGAAGCTGGATTATGTGCCAGAAGGCCAGCCACTCGCTGGTCTAGTGGTTCTGACAAGGCACAGAACAACTGGGTTAAGTTTCGCAAGAAGTCACATCAATTGGTCCGAGCAAGATTGCACTAGAATCTTTTTTTTGGGTTGAGTCAGCTCTTTGCTTGATGTCTTCTGACGACTGAGAGAGGGTTTGGAGGAGAACAGAAGAGCGATATATCTCCGCAACATTTTCACTCCGGAGAAGCTAGGGAGGTGTGGGTGTTATAGTTTGGACTGGCGTTTCTATGGAAATTCGCTCAAACTTGATCTTCATAGACGATTCCCTAACTGCTGATACATTGAAAGTGTGTTATCAGAAGAAATTGTTCCTTACATGCCATTAATCAGCGACAGTTTTATTTTTATTAATGACACCCTCACACAGCTAAGATCATTGGTGACTACTTGGCACGGTCTTCAATTCAATGTTTGGAGGGACCAGTATGTAGTCACGACTTAAACCTTATCGAACACTTTTAGGACGAGTTTTCAAAAGTCGCCCAGTGATGCCAAAGAATTTGCAGGAATTAAGCATGGCCTTGTTCGAGAATTATGTAAATATTCCACAGCAAATATTTTCTATTTTCACTATTCATAGTAGTTTAATTTAAAACAACATACCTCTTATTATTAAAGATTTTTTGTTTGATGCATAAAATTGATGCAAGCGGTGTTCAACGCAAGAGGAGGAAATACTCCGTACTGATGCGAATATTTTCTTCATTTTTTCATATGAACATTTTTGGTAAAATTCTTTGACTCAGGTTAAGTTTTCATTTAGCAATATCTTATATTTTTCTTTGAAACTATCCAGAAAAAGTCAAAAAATAACAATTATAACGACTTTGAGTAGTTACTAAAAAGATGAGCGTGGCCACTTTTTTGATTCTCAGTGTATTTTGAAAAATTGTTAGAAAATGGTAAAGGCAAATACGAGAGAACTGTAAATACAGAATTTACGAATACTTTTCGAGGACCCTACCCCATCACTGTTTTATTTACATTTTAGTTTCTATTTTCTGGTCTTTACCTTCGCCCATTTCGTTAGGAACCCTTTTTTGTTGACATTATAAGACTTGCACTCTTCCTCTTGACACTTGGAATTTTTCTTAAGTGTGGGATAGATTTAAGATTACTATTTTAGATTACTTACTAGATTTGATTACTATTTCGACCCCGCATAAAAGTGTCGTCCGAAGTTTGAGGCAGAATGGATGGAATTGGTCTCTAATTAAAAATATTTGCCCTGGTGTACAGTTAGTGGATTGTCCTGTCCTATCAGTGGCTTCAGAAATATTTTCTGAATAGTAGTTTAATTTAAAACTACCTCTTATTATTAACGATTTTTTGTTTGATTTTCGAAAAAAACTTAGCCTGTTGAACGAATATTCAAATTTTCTTACTGTAAACTACAACTTGTTAAACCAGTTATTAATTATTAATAAACAACGATTAATGAATCATAATGTTTGTGAATTGATGAAAGTCAAATAATTTTGTGGTGTGTATGGCAAACCATTATATATAACAACTTAATGAATACAATTCAATTTAGGTAATTATTTTTTATAGTAACATGATTTTTTAACTGCATTAATAGTTACTTCTATTTATCCTTTTTAAGGAAGTTGAATCATTAAATAAAATATATTAATTTCTTATTTTAATTACATTGTTATTGTTTAATTTGTTCACCCTGACATTAGTTGTCATGTTTGGGAGTAAAGTTTATCAACTTGTTTTGCAAAAAGACGCCTTTCAAATGCCATTTTCAAACCAGGATGCGACAACGTTTGGGATTGGTCTTGAGCCCACTCATGAATTATTTAAGGTGTCGCCGTTGTTTATGCCCTTCCTTATACAAAGCATGCTGTACGACTTGTGCCATTAGAGAGAAAAGGATTTATTTATCGGTGGTAGAGGGTGGTTTGAAGGTATTATAGGACAGCCCGGGATCACAGAAAGCGTTTGGCTGCAAAACTATGTAACACGTAGAGACTTCAAATCTTCAGGGTCGATTTTCTGTGTGTCAAGTTGAAAGTGGAAATATCTAGCCATAAAACACAGATTAAAATAACCAAATGTTTCTAAATTCCCACATTAGATGAAATTAGGAAAATACGAAGACCTCACATGAGTAATGTAACTTTTCCCAACCTCTCTCTCTTACTCAATTAAGCTCTTGGGGTAAATTACAATTTTCCAAAATTAAACGTTTTGGATAATGAGCAAATGCAATATAACGTTATACAAGATCTACATCCCTTTTCTTTGAAAGTAGTCTTCTCTGGGAGTTTTGTTAAATTCGCACTTGGACCACGTACATTTGTTTCTTTTTGCTAACCGGCTTATAATTAATTATGTATATTAAATTAACTTTATGCACATCGCGATGATAATTTTATAGAAATCTTTTGTTCGTAATGCACATAAAAAGAGGGAACCAGTTTCGTGAACCGCTGTTGTTAAATCGACTTCTATTATATATATTTATTATTTTCATTCTATCTACAATAAAATAGACGAAGGCAGGAAGAAAATAAAATAAATTTTACTAAAAAAATATTTTTTTAATTAATTCCTTATTACTTCCCTTAAAGCAAAAAGTGAGAAAAAAATGTATAAGTCAATTTGGGAAAATGAGCAAATCCTGCGTTTATTTTTTGTTAATTAAAGAAAAGTATCGAAAGATGGTTTTAGAGGCGCAAATTATTTTCCTATTCGCTTTCGGTAATTCTATTGTCATCGGGGATGAAAACCTTTAATTAAGGCTTTAAAATTATCATATAATAGTGTGAAGGGAATTTGTGTGAAGATAAACCGTTTAAATTTGTAGGAGAAAGTAGTGAGTACAAATAATTTGAGTTTGAAATTTCTATCATTGTATAAATTCATTTTTTCACATCTTAAGTGTGTATAATTTAAAGAATGTCTATAAATCCCAGGCCCTGAAGATGATCTCAATAAAGATCGAAACGTTGGGACGATAAAAACATAATTTTCTAAACCTACGTCACACCAGACCGCATTTCATGATCTCCAAATAATCATTTTTTTTAGTATTAGTACACCCTATTTGCAATAACTTCAAACGTACAGTTCCTCACGAGTTACTATTTATTGTTATTTTTCCATGGAAACGTTAATTTACCAGAGAAAAGGAGGGAGGGAGGGAGGGAGTGATGAATGGAGGGGTGGGAGGGAGAGAGTGAGAGAGAGAGAGAGAGAGAGAGAAATAGAGAGATAAACTGATAGATAGATTACAAATATAGATAGAAGTAAAGAGAGAGAGAAATAGAGAGATAAATTGATTGATAGATTACAAATATAGATAGAAGTAAAGAGAGAGAAGGAAAGAGAGAGAAATAGAGAGATAAACTGATAGATAGATTGCAAATATAGATAGAAGTAAAGAGAGAGAGAAAATTAACACATTCCTCTTTAGACAAAACAATATATTCTAAATTCCTATTCATAGAACTACAACATACTCCAACTCTTTCTTAATTACCAGGATAATGCTGTTTAATAATGTTCCAAATACTATTTCCTCTGAGAGCAGTTTGCGCGCTTTCAAAAGAAATTATCAAAAACATCTGATGGAAAATAATTAAAGCCATCGTAAAATCATGGAGACATAAATTAATTAATATCATGTTTTGTATTATGTGTTTTTGCATCCTGTAAATAACTGTAATAATGACGAAAATTTAAAAATAATAATATGTAATAATAATAATAATTTAACAACAAAAAGAAATATATATAAAACAAAGTAAATTTACATTATACACTATGGTAAATACACTCTGGCGGTATTAAAAATTAAAATTAATTAGATAATTAAGTCATGTCTAACTATAAAAAAGAGAGAATAAATAGAATAAATAATAGAGAGAGAAAGGGAATGGTTTGTGGTAAATTTAACCATTTTGACCTTTTACTTTTGACATTAATCATTTAATTTTAAAATCATCAACTATATATTAAATTATCCCTTCAATTTCTACGTTTTCCTCGATTTGAGTTCTCTGGTTTGTAAAACACCTATTAATTATTCAGTTTTTATTGATTTAGTTTGTTAATACTAGTGAATATATTGCGTTCACTTGTAAATAGTTTTATCGGTTGGAAATAATTTAATAGTTAATTTTTAATCCATGCGTATTTTTTTTAAACAATAGCTTTATTATTTGCATAATAATCGAGAAAAATGTTAGCTCAGACAATCGTCAATATAAACATAATATTATATATATAAAATAATTTTAATTTTGTTTTTTTTTCGGTTTCGGTACGATGTTGCAATTGAAGGTCACGCATCCCATACAGTTGCCTGTCTTATCGTAGCCCTTTATCCACGTCTTGTATTTTCCGTACACAAGGGACTGCATGACAGGGCTCTCTTGCACAAAGCTCAAATTCTCGATCGTGTAAACTCCCTGAAAGTATTTCGAGTTGTTTCACGTTTGATGTATTTCAATCATTGCAATTTTTACTCACAGCGGGTGCAGGACAAGAAGCGTTGACACGCGAGAACATTTCATGTTTGAACTCAGGTAGATACTTTTCCAGTCCAGAGCATGCAAGCATTTCGTTATAGAAAAAATTCGGCTTCCATCCGCCGTTTCCCCATGAAGAAACATTAATTGCAATCTATAAATTTTTGTTGTCTATAAACCTACACAATTCAGATTGTTACACGTTACCTTTATATCATCGCTGATGTCAACAGTTGAATTGATGGTCCCCGAGTAAACGTAACTCGACCTGCTGAGCTTTCTTATTTTATAGTTGCTGAAAGTAAATTTCGGACACTCGCAATCAGAGCTGGGACACATTCCTAACTCTAAAGGGACGATATTGTAAGGGCCCTAAAATCGGATTTACAAAAGATGATCTTAAATTTCAATTTAATCGGTCATACTGACAGCAAAGGGAGCGAAGGAAGTTCTGCTCAAACAAAACAATATTGTGACAGTAATGTACACACTCCTCATTATGACGAGCGGATGAGCTGTGGGCAGTAAGTGGAAAGCATTGTTGGTTCAAAATATGTATTATCATTTTAACTAATCTTTCATTTTTATAATCACGTCCGGTGTGAGAAGTGTACACAAAAGAAAATAATTTTTAAAACGTTTCCTTTAACAAAAATGTATATTGCACAGGAAACACTGCTTTTGAAAATTTCAGGTTGCGTTACCTTTAACTAACAAAAATTAATAAAATAATATTATTTTATCTTCTATATTATTTTCATCTTATTATCCTTTCTATTTATCGTACTTTCTTTTTAAAGTATGTCCTACTTTTCTAGAGCAGAATTTTCTAGGTGATATTTTCCAAATATGTATTGAAAATAAACTACATAGCATTTTTCAAAACAAGTTGCTTCATCCAAATGGTGTCTCTTATGTTACATTTTGATAGTTTCTTTCCTGATTTGTACAATACATCGGCAAGGGTTTAATTCGGCTGTTATTACCCCGAACCGGCTGTATCTATCATTTATTTATTTATTTTTATTTAGAAAGACTGCATTAAGAAATATTATTCGACATTATTTCCAAGATTGTCTGATTCTCACAAGAGGGGTCCGATTTTCTTGTAAGTTTTTATGATTTATGATGAACAATAGTTGGAAAAATATTAAACACGTGTCCGAGCATTCTTATAAATGGGCAATTAATTTATATAGGTTTGAAAAGTCTTTCTGCGTTGTTGTACATTGAAGGTTATTAAATATCATATAGTTATTTTAATATAGTTTTTTAAATTATTAAACGATCACGCAAAAAAATTGTGTATCAAACACATATACATTAGTGTGTGTCTACATCAAAAAACAATAATAATATTAATAGATAATAATAATACTTTATTAAAATAGAAAAAGACAACAATTGGTACAAAGTATAATAAGCATGGCTAGGAGCCGTCTGTTGAGTTAATGCATAATAAAGCTTTTAATTATAGATATAATATAAACAAAGGAAACAAACGAGAAGAAAAAAGTTATATAAAGCAGGAGTGTGAATGAAAAAAAAGAACGTAAGGAAAAATAGTAAGATTTAAAGGAAACTTTTTACTTCTTGAGAATTAATAGTATAGTATACAACAGCTTACAATTAATTTCATAGTGTCGACGATCAATGCATATCTAAAAGCCACTCGTATGGCCCGATTATCCTTTCAGGAATAGATAAACCTATTCTAATTATCCCCGTCTATACAATCCTGAAAAACAGAATAATCAAGTCGAACCATTACCAACGTTTTTCTCATTGTCGGCCCCTTTTCGCCTCAAAGAAGCCAACTGTTAATATAAAAATGTCTTTCTATCCCGACTTCCTTCCCCACCTCCTCAAAATCCAACGGATATATACATAAAACAGCATCATCTCACTGGCACTCTCAACATGACACACAAGAATGACACATCTACACGGAAAGGAAACACTTTGAGTGAGAGTACACACACTTTGATAGAATCTAAAATTTTCAAGCATTGTATAAATTCATTCTTTATTTAAATCTAAAATTTGCTAGTATCGCATAAATTCGTTTATTGTTATTTTTTTAACCTAAAACTTTCTACCATCCTTTAAATTCTTTTTTTCACATCCTACAGTATTTGTAAAATTTAAACAATGTTTATAAATCCCAGGCCCTGAAGATGATCTCAATAAAGATCGAAACGTTGACATGATGAAGAAAATATTTTTCTAAAACCTAAGGCACACCAGACCGCACCTCACGATTTCCAAATAATCATTGGTTAACGGTCACTAAACACCACACATTCCTTTCCAGTATTGAATGCCGAATCATAAAATCGCTAGTATCGACTGGCGGTTAAATAAAACCTCCTATGATCAAAGAAATTTTCCTAGATTTACCGCGTCCCCCTTATCTTAGTCATATAAATACAACAGAACACAAATTCACGTTTCACAACACTCACACAAAACCAACATGACACCACAAGAATAGCACCACACTTTATGTGAGTATGAAATACTTGGTTCACAATTTATATTTACATCTTAAATTGTATTTTTACCAATCAACATATGTTTTGTAATTTACCCAGTCCCAGAAGATGACCCGAATAAAGGTCAAACGTCTACAAAAAATAAAAAATGTCTTTTTCTAAACTCCCTCATTCTTGACCACTCCTCAGACTTCAACAAATTATAATAATACAATATTTTTTAGAACGTTATCGTTTATAATTGAAAGAAGTTATTATTAGTTTTTTGATAAATTCGTACTATTTTATTAACACGTTACATTATTATAAACAAGACATTCTTTCGTGGGTTAGCAATATTTGATAGTTGAACAATAATGTAGTTATTTTAATATTTTAAGTTGTGTTTTTGTAGTAGGTAACAGAGTACAAGGAAATAGTTGGTTTTGTATCATTTTTATTGTCCAGAAAAATTTGAACAATCACTAAATGGGATGTATAAAAATTGTCTATGATTTCTTCTTTCCCTTTGGTATGCAATCACAGACAAAAATCACACATACCAAACAATTTCCGTCTGAATCGGTACCCTTCATTACAATCTTGTACTTTCCATAAGGAAGTGTGCTCATTAACTGGCTCTCTTGGACAAAACTCAAATTTTCGAAATTGTAAACACCCTGAAATTTTTCTTGAATGTTAACGCATTGTAGAAATTTACCCAAATTTGTTTTGATAACTCGAACTCACTTCGGGTGCGGGGCACGATTGGTTCATCTGAGCAAAGATCTCCTTTTTAAATTTGGGAAGGTACTTTTCCATTCCTGAGCACAAGCCGCCTAACTCGAGATAGTAGAAATTTGGCTTCCAACCGCCGTTTCCCCAAGTGGAAATATCAGCTGCAAGCTTTTTATTTATATTTAAAAAAAATCATTTTTATGTACATCACAATACATTACAAATTTTTCCTACTTTTTGCCTTTTTTCAAATATTCGAGTAATCAGGATTCGATTCTCGGCGATATATCACGTTGCCCAATCAAGTGGGGAGTTGGTGTCAGGGCGGATCGAAGTCACGATAGCTGGTGGTAGAGGAGCGGAGTATTTAGACGAAGCTCCTGGGTTCGAATCTCGCTCGTGGCACTAACTTTTTCATTTCAACTAAAAATCTTGCATAAAAAGATTAATTAATTGAAAGAAGTAATTTGGTCAATCGACCACTAAATATTATGAATTTAATAAGGAAAACGGAGTATAACTTCACTAACTAATCGAATCCTGATTACACGACATTTGAAAAATGCCAAAATGGAGGGAAAATTGGAAAGGTTGTAGGTAGAGACGGGGAGTTGGTGTCCGAGAGGATCGAAGTCACGATAGCTCAAGTGGTAGAGCAGCGGCATATTTTGCCGAAGGTCGTGGGCTCGAATCTCGCTCGTGGCACTAACTTTTTCATTTCAACCAAAAACCTTGAATAAAAAGATTAATTAATTGGACGAAGTAATTTGGTCAATATACCTCTAAATAACTCTACATCAAATTACGTTTACCTTTATTTCATCGCTGAGAGGAATCGAACTGTTTAAAACCCCACTGTAGACATAGCTTGACCTGTCCAGCTTCCTAAGTTTGTAATTGTTGAAGATGAATTTTGGACTCTGGCATGTAGAAGTGGTACATTTCCCTAACTCTAAAGGAACAATGTCGTAGGGACCCTAAGCACATATAATTAAAAAAGTGTGTAGAGATTAGTGACCGTTAGTCGATAGTTATTCAGAAATTGTGAGATGCGGTCGGGTGTGATGTAGGTTTCAGAAAAACATTTTCTTTATTGTGCCAACGTTTCGATCTTTTATTGAGATCATCTTCAGGGCCTGGGATGTACAAACATTGTTTACATTTAACAAATACATTTACACCCAAACACACTCTAAGACTCATAATTTCAATTGTAAACTCACCCACATATAACATGACAAAATACCTAACCAACGTACTCAACAACATCACAGATATCACATATAATGTAAATGATTCATTTCATTTCATTAATAAAATTAATAATATCCACATCCCCTCACACTACTCTCTCATATCCCTATATGTTTCATCATTATTTACCAACATCCCAATAGATACAACACTGGACATTATTAAAGACAAATGGCCCAACATAACACCACACACAACTCTATCAAAGAACACGTTCGTAGCAATGATCCGACACTGCTGTGTTAACGGATATTTTACATACGACAATCAGTTTTACAAACAACTTTTTGGTATAGCCATGCCAACGTAGGCCCGATACTGGCAGACATAATCATGACACATCTACTAAATACAGTCATACCACAACTTCCTTTCACATTACCCTTACTCACTAAATACGTAGATGATAAATTGACAGCAGTTCCCACAGATCAAATTCAAACTACATTAGATACATTTAATAGCTTTCACCCACGCCTACAATTTACACATGAAATAGAAAACAACAAAACAGTACCATTTTTAGATACATTTGTAATAAAACAACCAGATGGCCCATTAATCACAGATAGGTACCAAAAATCAAGAAACACAGATCGCTACCTCAACTTTAAGTCTCACCATCCTCTTCATACAATAATAAACACGGCCAAAGAGTTACTTCACAGAATGATTACCCTGAGCTATGAATCATTTCACCTAACATAAAGAACATAAAGAGATCCTCCATAACAATCTCTACCCTAAGCACATAATTAACAGAATAATCAACAACTACAACTCAACACTAACACATTCCACTATTACTAATAATACTAAATTAAGCATATCAAATACAAACAAACAAGCATACATTTCCATACCATTTATTCAAGGCCTATCACATAAATTAAACACATTTCTCTCGTCCGATAACTTCAAAATAGCTTTCAAAAATTATAAAACAATCCAAACACTTTTTTCCAAAGTTAAAGCCCACACCAATAACAAATAAATCTGACGTAATCTACAAGATCAACTGTTTAAACTGTCCGGCAACTTACATCGGTCTTACATCCCAATATCTGGACAAGAGAGTAAAGCAACATATCTATGATTGCAAAAAACCCAAGCAAAATCCTACAGCACTCGCTACCCACCACTTTGAACACCAACACAATTTTGACTTCAAAAATCCAAAAATATTACATACAGAACAAAACAAATATAAACGTAATTTCTTAGAAATGGTTTATATCAACAGAGATAAACACAGCATCAATTACAGAACAGATACATGTAAACTCAGTCGCAGCTACGCCAATATCATTAATCAAATTCAATACAGATAACATACCTATATCATCACATTACATTCCACACATCAAATATTTTTCACATAGTCTAATTTCCCAACAATTTAGCTTTCCTTTTCCTATTTATCCCTTTCTATATAATCCTGAAAGGATAATCTGGCCGAACCATTACCAACACATTTTTTCCCTTCGTCGGCTCTTTTCACCTCAAAGAAGCCGACGCCTTATACAAAAATGTCTTTTCTATACCGACATCCTTCCCCACCCCTTCAAAATCCAACGTATATAAACACAAAATAGCAAAATCTCACTGGCACTCTCGACACGACACGCAAGAATGGCACAATTACACAGAAGACAAACACTTTGAGTGAGTAGAAATACTTTGATTGAATATATAAAATATATTTTGCATTGTATAAATTCACTTTTCCACATCCAAAATGTAATTGTTATATGTAAACAATGTTTGTAAATCCCAGGCCCTGAAGATGATCTCAATAAAAGATCGAAACGTTGGCACCATAAAGAAAATGTTTTTCTGAAACCTACATCACACCCGACCGCATCTCACGATATCTGAATAACTATAATTAAAAAACTTACATACAAAAGACTTACAGAAAACAGTATTACTTACGGCAAATGAAGCAATAGATCTACTGGCCATGTGGAGAAACAGAGCCAGAGTAAAAATCCTGCTGTCCATGATCCTGAAGTTCAACTGGGAAACGTTATTCATCAAAAATGGATAGAGAACAAAAGTTATCTGTTTCGCTATAGATCGATCAGTATTATTTTTAACTCAAATAATTGACATCCTGTTATTTATAAAATGAGTTCACAATGGATCCCCGCAAAACGCGAATTCGAATAACGCGACATTTACATTCAATTTGCGACTACTCAAACAACACGATAAACAGCCTCGTAAGATAAATTTCACATTTTCACAGGTTGCGATTTTTTGTTTAGAAAAGTATGTTTACATATTTGTTTGTTTATTATTATTATTATTAAATTATTATCGTTGTAAGTTATACAGTGCCTACAAAAGTAATCGGTAATCGCGCTTTTTTTTTAAATATTAGGTTTCACTATTAGAGCTGCCTATTTTTATGTTATTTTATTTTTTTTTCGGTTGTATTTAAAATATAACCTTACTAGAGAGATGGATAATTAATTAATCTGAGAGTAAATGGGTGAGAATGAAGAGTGATTGAGAGAGAAAGAAGGAGAGAGAGAGTGAGAGAGGGGGAGAGAGAGAGAAAGAGGGAGAGAGAGAGAGAGAGAGAGAGAGAATATTTTATTCTGGGACGAGAATCCCCTGACTAGAATCACAATACGGCCACAATTTTTTTTTTATAACAACAAACTAAACTTCTGAAAAATATTTTATAAACCGTTAGGATTAATGAATCTGTTAGGGAAAAGTAAATATGGATCCAATGAAGAGGTCACAAAAGTAAGCGATATCACTTATTTTTGTTGACTTTTTTTAATTTTATTTGTCGCAACAACTGCAGTCTGTATTTTCGTTTATCCGTGCGGTCGTGCTATTAGTTTATATTAAAAACAATGACGCCAAAGCAACGTTTCTACAATGGAAAAGCGCTTCCACGTTATGTTTCTACTGGAAAAAGGAATGACATTTAAATATCGTGTTAATTACAAATTTCGTGGCACTTAATAAAAATGTAAGCCTTAATATGTCTACATATTAATACTGCCCATAATTCCTTCGATAAAAACTAAGTTTCCCGGTTCCAGGCACCGTCCACAAGGCAGACGTCACACACCCCATACCATAAAAGAGCCGGCACCATGTTCCTCTAGAATTTTGGACGTGAACTCTTCATTAGCTCTTTTCTTGCAATACCGTGGTACAATGGTTAAACCTTGAAATGTAAACGAGGGACTGGGTACCAAATTTTATTTGAACACACAATGAATGATCTATTACATTTATTTTGACTAATATTCGACAACAATTTTGTTTAACATCGGCCTGCGATATGAAAAGTAAGAGGCATGACGCCTAATAGCAAGATCAATGTGTATGGCGAACCACAATTGACAGTGGTATTGTCCTGTGTTGTTTGGTTCTGTGCTCACGTAGTTGAGGCCGAATTCATTTTTCATGAAGTCAGCGAGATAGCTGTCGTGTTGAACTCGTTATTGAAGTCGCCATAGAGAACGATCGAACTCGATAACACTTTTTGTGAAGTTCGCTGAATATTTAATGTGTATTGACCACTTTTTTATGAACGAATAATCTGGGTTTCGGTGTGGCCTGGTCGAAAAACAAATTCAATTTTTATTCTACCGCGCTTTCGACTTATTTTCAGGTGAACATCAGGGCCTTTATTGCATTATTATCGAGGAGAATCTGCAAGACCATGTATTAGCCTTGAACCCATTCTATAAGAAAAATAAACACAGAATCCTCAGTCACAGAATGGATCCAAAAAGCAAAAGTCGATAAACTCATGGGGCGGTGGACACAGTGAACTTATATTAAAACAACGCTCACGAGACTGCCATACTCACTACTGTAATCGAAGAGGGCTAAAGTTTTAGGACAACAAGGATTGAAGCAGCCACTATTTGTTCAATGCCATCTCAAACTAATGAAAGTAATTTCGTTTAAAACCACTTAATTAGAGCATTATCATTATCAAGAACGAGATTTTCCCGTGTTTTTTTAATTTTTTAAAAGGCTTGATCTCATTGTCCAAGTACGCATTGTCAAAGTATCGTTTAGTTGAGTGCTGATGTTAAAAGGCGAATAATGATGATTTGTTGAGGGAATTTGTTTTTCTTTCTTTATCCATTAATCCCATAGATATAACAATGTGGAGAAGTAAAAATAATTTATTTTAGTCTGAAGTACAAATCGAATTTAAATACATTTAAAAAAAGAAGTAGAACCTAAATAATACCAGAATTGACTATGATAAGGCTGCAATTGAAAACTATGATTAAACGATTAATTAAAGTTTTTAGTTGAGATGAAAAAAAGTTAATGGCACGAGAGGGATTCGAACCCACGACCTTCGGCTAGATACGCCGCTGCTCTACCACCTNTCACGATAGCTCAGGTGGTAGAGCAGCGGCGTATCTAGGCGAAGGTCGTGGGTTCGAATCCCTCTCGTGCCATTAACTTTTTTTCATCTCAACTAAAATCCTTAATTAATTGTAAAGTATTAATTGGTCAAGCGGACCACGAAAATAGTGAACTATGATTAAATATCATAGCCAGAAAATAAATTTAAACATTTATTTAAAAATGTGTGGTGGTTAGTGACCGTTAATGGATAATTATTCATAAATCGTGAGATGCGGTTTGGTGTGATGTAGGTTTCAGAAAAACATTTTCTTTATCGTGCCAACGTTTCGATCTTTATTGAGTTCATCTTCAGAGCCTGGGATTTACAAACATCGTTTACATTTAAAAAATACATTTAGGATGTGGAAAAAAGTGATTTTATACAATGAAAAATATATTTTTTTTATTCAATAAAAGCATTTCTACTCACTGAAAGTGTTTGTCTCCTGTGTAAATGTGCCATTCTTGCGTGTCGTGTTGAGAGTGCCAGTGCGATATTGCTGTTTTATGTTTATATAAGTTGGATTTTGAAGGGGTGGGGATGGAAGTCGGTATAGAAAAGACATTTTTGTGCAAGGTGTCAGCTTCTTTGAGTTGAAAAGAGCCGACAAAGGGAAAAACGTTGGTAATGGTTCGGCAAGATTATCCTTTCAGGATTATGTAGAAGGGGATAAATAGGAAAAGGAAAACTAAATTGTTGAAAAATTAGACTATGTGAAAAATGTTTGATGTGTGAAGTGTGATGAGATGATATATGTATGTTATCTATATTGAATTTGATTAATGATATTGGCGTAGCTGCGACTGAGTTTATATATATATTTGTCCTTCTTTTATGTATCTGCACTTCATTAGTGAATGTTACTGTGTAACGAAAAACTTATTTTCTTATTATTTATCGGCCGAGAAACATCTCGGGTCTCTTCTTGTAATAATATTCCTTTTTTAAATAAATTCACACAATAATGCTTATATGAACAAACGAAATATATTATTTAAATAACGAAACAAGTTTTTTTTTGGAAATTCGTGTTTATACAATGTTGTGCACGCGCTGGTCGGTCGCAATAAAAATAAAATTAAATTAAATAAAAATACAAAATAAAATGAAATACAAAATAAAATAAAATACTAACTTGTTAACTTGGCTTGATTTTCTCGACAACCAGGGAGGAGAGCTGTTTAATAGCTAGAACCTGCAATAACTCTGGCCAAAGATAAAACAGAATCCTCGTCTATTAATTTACCTTCGGGGCTCCGTCCGAACCCTGTATGATGTGTCGCATTAAGAATGTGGGAGGAGACACTCGCGTTATTTTGAACGCGATAATTAACAACGAAAAAACGAAAAAAATGCTTCTTGAAAATAAGAGAAAAACTGAAAGAAAACTAAAAGAAAATCACTCTTGGAGGCTAATTAACAGTGGATTGTATAGAAGCGAGACGGAAGCGAACAGGACTAGGCAGCAACAGGACAGGATTGTGGGGAGGGAACAGAGCTAGGATAAATTCTAGATTAGCGGCATTTCGGAAACAAAATAAACAATTATAATTCGCGATTTTTGGCGCGAACACAATGCTTTTCCTTGTATATTTGTAAAAGAAGGAAATGTAGTCCTTGATATATGTAGAGTATGTTGTTATTTGATGACTATAAATATTAGCTTTACATTTTTCTACAGCTAATAATTGTTTATGTGAAATCTGATCTATACGTTGTAAACTATATATTAAAATCTGTTTTAAATAATGTGCTAGTATATAAAAAACCCCTTTTGGTTTGTCCCAGTAAAGGTGCGTTCTCACCGTTTAATTGTTTTGGTCAACTTTAGTTCGTCAAAAGCTGAAAGCAATTTAATCATATTTTGTCCACTCCTTTTAATAAAAAAATAATTATTCTTTTCATCTATGGTTTTTGGTTGAGATGAAAAATCAGTGTCATGAGCGGGATCAACCAAAATCCTTAGATGAAAGAAAATATTTAATTGAAAAAATTAATATGGTCAATTATAGCCACTAAACAAATATTAATTAATAAAAAAATTTCAACTTTTGATTTGCAAACTATTGTTCCACCGTCTTAATTTTGCTTTTCTAATCAGCTATAGTAAGTTGGGCTATTTACATTTCTTTTACCATGATCTCTTAGTATTTTTTAATTCCATTATTTATTTAATCTCATCAAGTGCCATCATTAGGCTGTGGGCTTCATAAAAGAGTTCAGAAGTAAATCATATATGGTGGCAAATTTCGTGAGAAAGACTCAGCATTGTCAGGTGCTCCGAATAAAAAGCAAACGTCTTAATTTTGTAATAGTGAATCTAGTAATTTTTATCTTTGCCAATAGAACTAAAGCTTTTTCTTTCTAATCTGTACTTATATATAATAGGTCGGTGTTTCGAAAGAAATTTATGATTATAATAAAATTTGCAAATAAAAGAAAAAATGAAGTATTCTTCTATGTGTGGTGTTTAGTGACCCTTGGCCAATGATTATTTGGAAATCGTGAGGTCTGGTGTGACGTAGGTTTTAGCAAAACATTTCTTTATCATGCCAACGTTTCGAACTTTATTGAGATCATCTTCTGGGCTCAAAGTGTTTGTTTTCAGTGTAGA